AAGCAGCCATCAAAGCGCTGAGTTCTTACGTAATCAGCTCAAAAATGGTATGGAGATGCCTAGAACAATTAAATGAGCTAGGCGAGAAAAATAGAGTTACTCTCACTTGGGTCCCGGGACATAACGGGGTACAGGGTAACGAGATTGCAGATAGTCTTGCAAGGAAAGGGGCTCAAACACCCTTTGTAGGACCTGAGCCGTTCTGCGGTATCAGCAGTAACATAATATTAGAAGAGATTAAAAAAGAATTGGGTAGTAGAAGAACCGATAATTGGAACAATCTCTTGGGGCTGAGACAGGCCAAGATACTTTTGGGTGAATATAACCAAAAAAGATCGGAAGCCTGCATCTGCCTGAGCAAGAACAGGCTACGTATTGTAACAGGGATCCTTACCGGGCACTGCCGACTAAAATGTTATCAAAAATAAAAAATATGTATCAAATTATTCTTTGGACGGCTAGGATATTACTAAAAATTCATTAATTAAAAATTTTACAAAAATGACTACTTCTTTGAATAAAAAGATCAAAAATAGAACATAATGAAGAATTTATAAAATGCTTTAATAAATTTCAAAATATACTGATCTTTCAATTTTTCAAAAATCAAATATATTTTACTTTTTAGTGCAAATGAGATAAAATAAAATGAAATGAAATAGTTCTGCAAGTATTAAATCGAGTTTATTCCAAACCTAGATTAAATAGAGATATCGGAAATACTAATTAAAAAATTCTGTATTTTGTTATAATAATAGTATACATTCAATGGCGTGAACTTCCATTTGAAATAAGTCCTTTATTTTAATATTGAGAAGGTCACATTGATAATACAAATCCCTTTGATCTAGACGATCACTTAATAATTTCTAATTATGTACAAGATCATAAGCAAATTAGTAAACAGATGTATAACAAAATTAAACAACGTAATGAAGAAGTAAAAGAAAATTTAATGAACAAATTAAATGAAAAGAGATTTGAACCAGATAACTATTTTAAACAAAAGTCATGTTTTGTCAAAACAAAATCGAGAAATAAAAAATTACCAAAATTTAAAAAGGCAAATGTCATTGAAGATAAAGGTATTTTATTAAAAACAGATGAAGGTACTTATCATAAAAGTATTGTTAGAAAGCCAAAAAATAATTTAGAAAAATTGTTACAGGATATCGACGAAAATGAAATCCCTTTTGATAACGACGCTGTTCCAAGTACAAGTTCTACAAGTCATTTATATATACCAAATACATAGTATATTTCTATTTTACATTTTACATTACTTAGAAATCGATATAACATAGTTTAATTTATATTGATATAGGATTAGTAGCTCACCTCCGTATATTTTATCATAGCTTATCACAAACTATGTTAACAAGAACAGAATATTTAATAATTACTGTTCAGAAAAAGATTAATAATTTAATCCCTCATGTAAGACATAAAAGAGCTCTAATAAATGCAATTGGAAAAATTAACAAATGGCTATTTGGAAATCTTGATTCTGATGACGAAAAAAGATACAATAATGCTATAAAAACATTGCAAGAAAATCAAAAAAATATTATCAGTGAAACAAATCTTCAAATTTCGTTGTACAAAAGACTTGTTGATCATTATAATAAATCAATTACATTCTTAAGCAAAATTCAAGAAAAATTTAAAGTTGATATGGAAAAAATTCAAGCAGCTATTTATAACAGAATTAATACACTTGAAAGTTATATTAGTTTTCAGGCCATTATATCACAAATTGATTTAGATTGACAAATGGCAATTTCGTTTACAGATAATTTAGAAAATGCTATAACCTTTGCAAAATTAAATACTTTACATAATTCTATAGTTTCCAGCTCAGACATTAAAGACATGATAAAATATTTACATAAAATATATAATGTTGATCAAATTCCGAAATTTACAAATTTATTAACGTATTATCAGTTCTTAGGAACGCAAGTATCGATTTCAGAGTCCAAGTTAATTTTTGCAATACATTTTCCTATTTTTGAAAGTAATACCTTTGAATTTTATCATTTATTCCCAATTATCCAAAACCAAAAAATGTATACACCTCTATTTCCCTATTTGGCACGAAACCATCAAGATACACAATTTGAACGAGAAGAATGTCCATCCCTTGAAGAAATTTATTATTGTTAATAGAATTTCATCCCCAGAGATAATTGTACTCTCCAACTTCTTGAAGGAAGAACTTTGACAAATTGTCACATTTTAAATGTTAATTTAGAAGAATCAGTATTTGAACAAATCGCAATTAATGAAGTCCTAATAATCCCGTCAAAACCGGAACAAATTCTTGCAAAATGTAACAGTAACCAGTATATAGACATAAGATCACCTGTACTAATCAAGATACCAAAATCTTGTGAAATTTGGGCCAACGAAAGAAGATACATCAACAATATTCAACTGAGCAGGAAGATCGACATGAAGAAAATCTAAACTTCAAAGTCTTATCAAACTTCTAATATAACTAAATTAGATTTTAATGATTTATATGAAATTAATCAAATTTCTAAACAATTAAAGCCAATTAAAGAAATTCAAAATAATTTTAATTATTCAAGCACTTTTGGAACAATTTTTGTAATTTTTATTTGCATAATTATTTTAATATTAATTAAATACAGAAGACAACTTTTAAGAAGATTTAGAAGAAAGAAGAAAGAAAACGAAGAAATTGAATTAGAAAATCCTACAGAAGATGTCTTGAAAAATAGCTCCATATTTTTCAAAACTTAAGGAGGGAGGAGTTATATATTGAGAATATAATAGACTCTTTTATATATTATCTCTGATTAATAATCAGTTTTACTTTATAAATAGGAGTAGAACCTTATTATTGTTGTTATTTGTCTTTAGTTATTTGTACTTAGTAGTTATTTGTTATTTGAAGCCGTTAATTAAAGTAGCTTTAAGACAGATATCCATTTAAGTGTATTTTATACTTAATAAAATTTTTAAAAATAAAAGTTCCATTTTGGAATTTATAACTCACTTATTGTTCTAAAAAGAAACTTATCAACTATCTAGCTCTCGAATAAATTATATTATTTATTGATTTTGATAGTTTTTTTTTTTTAATAAATTTATAATTCAACTATCTGATAGATACCGGAGAGAAATTTAGAATGGCAAAAACATTCAATTGTAATTTATAGCACTTATAACATTAAAAGGTGCACGATAACTTTTAAAAATAGTAAAATACCATTTAGAATTGAATGCAATGGTATATGTTCCAAAATTTGTTTTTATGATGTGGTTAATTTAGCAGTAGTCTATTACGCTATTTTTGACAGATAGTGTCTTTATTTGTAAAAAAAAAAAACGTTAACCAAAGCAGAAGACTAAAATATTTGAGAATTATGTAACGATGTTTGGCACGTATTATAATTAACCGTGGAACAAATTTTATCGATGAAAAAAAATCCTTATTCGTAAATATAAATATTAAGCGTCATTAAATTATAGCAGGGGCGCTACTGGGAAAATTTGTCAGAATGGATGAGCGCTCTTTCCAAATAACGATTAACTGTTAATTCTACCATTTGGAAAGTTACGTACAGATCAGGTTAATGTTGTTTTCATGTTACCAGAAAGTCAAGTACAGGTCAGGTTAATCCCTGAGGAGTACCTCTGAACTTCTCTGTTGTATTTATTTAGTAACAAAGTTAAATAAGTTAAGTACAGGTCAATTAAATATCTGAGGAGTACCTCTGAACTTCACTTTAAAGCTTCTGCTTCTGTGAGTAAAAAAAAGTTAAGTAGGTCAGTTAAATATTTGAGGTGTACCTCTAAACTTTAATTTATAGTTTTTTTTGTGAATAAAGAAATTAAGTATAGGTCAGCCAAATATCTGAGGAGTACCTCTGAACCTATTGCATTTATTTTGTCTGCTTAGCACAAATTTAGTGAAATTTTTTGAAATAATAAATATAGTGTAATTGTTAGCATCATGCAAGCTTTATGTTTTATAAATGTGGTCTGGTAAATGGTATAAGGAATCCGAGGATTCACAATCACAGAAAAAATCGATAAGTTGTACTGTCCTGGATGGGCGGTGTTAGCAAGTAATTCTTTTGTTTTTGGTTTTTCCTTTATGTTTTGTTGCCTAAATGATATATTAACTGCCCGAGACGTACTAAATGACTTGCTTTTTAACCACGCGATGGCAGGTAGTAAGCATTTCTGACTAGTAGAGTGAAAAATGCTGGACGGATATTGTTGAAATCCAAGGAGCATAGTGTTTATTTTGAATGATTTAAAAAAATATATAAATTGACAAATGCTAAGCGGATATTGTTGAAATCCGAGGAACATAGTTTTTATTTTGAAATTGTTTCAATCATATTAATTGAAAAATGTCAGACGGATATTGTTGATATCCAAAGAGCAGATTGTGTTTTAAATTATTTTAAAATCTTGGATAAAGTGTTATAAATTAAAAGACATGGGGTGTTGTGTCACTTATTTAAAAATGCAAGGTTTTGTCTCGTCTCAGAATGTGACGAGAGGATAAGCAGGAAACTTTTTCGAAATAATTGATGTGAAAAGAATTTGGCAGCTAATCTTGTAATTTTGTTATTTTTATTTGAGACGTCTTTTCTTTTTGTGTGTTTAATATTTTTTTATGTTTTATCAGTGATCATTTGGTAAATAAATAATTATTTGACTTGATAACTAATAAAATCTATTATATACTAATGATTACCATTAACTCTGGGCGGTTAACACGATTTCTTTTTTTGATTTTTCTTCCCTCCCCTAGAAGAAAAAATCTTCAAATTTACTACAGAGCTCAAATACCACGAGTCAGACGGTTAACATGAATATTTTATCTTAGGCGCTATTTCCTAGACTATTTATCTTGAAAAATATTTTGTAGAATAATATTGTTGTTGCAAATAGGTTTATCTAAGTAGAAAATAATGTAACTCATTTAATTTTTTTTTTGTATTTCAAGTAAATAAATAGTACTCACGTCATTGGAAATTAGTATTAGTTCAATAAAAATGAGTTTCATATTCCCACAGCTTTGGGCAAATAACAGCAATATAACCTTCGTATTGAACTCATCACATTTATCAAAATATCGACATTTATTAAAATGGAAAAATAAAGCATCTATTCTGGAATTTGGTTTCGCAAACGGACACAATTCAAACCAGGTTTTACGTCCTCTTTTACCTAATGATTATAAGGAATTTATTGGTAGCGATATATCTAAACAAATGGTTGAAGAAGCTAAGAAAGAATTTCGTATGCCCAGATCAAATATTGTTCAAATGTCTATTGATGGAAATATTCCGGATGAGTTCCATAACCGATTTGATCATGTATTCAGTTTTCTAACTATGCACTTAGTACAGAATCCCAGGTGAGAATATTCTTTTTTTATTGGCGTTTATTACCGTATTATAATAATTTTATCCTGAAAATTCTGGACGTTAATAATAACGAGATCAACAGTGGATTAAATATTTCAATGTGTAAAAATAGATAAAATTTTATTAAAAATTCATCTGAGCGCTTGCGACTTACAAAGCCATCATCAAAGCCATCCTAAAAGCATTATAATTTAACAATAATTAAAATATTATTGCATGATGTTAAAACTTATGTCTAGGATATCCACCACATTAATCTTTGATCGAATACATTTGAATTTTCTAATTAACATAAGTACATCACAGGGGGGGTTGTGTTACGTACTAAAAGTCTCATACCTTATATATAATTTTTATGAACAATTTTATTATTCTAATATAAAATAATAAGTGTTCACAAAGAAATGAGCAAGGTCCCAACTATTTTAATATGTTTTTTTATATAGTATTTTGACTCTTTGATTCTTTAACTGTAGCTATATTTCATCTTCAATTAACTTTACCTTAATATCTGGTTTACCTAAAAATAAACGAATTAAAACTAATATTAGAAATATTTTAGTAAATAAGTAAATATAACCTTAAATTATGTTTTGATTCCTCTTCTGTTACTTTTATCATCTTCTGTCAAATTTTTTTCTCACAGAATCATAAAACATAAATTATGGGAAAAATACCATGATGTCATGCACAGTGTCAACGGACGGAATAATTGTTTTCCGAAAATCTATAAACTTTTTGTAATGTAAAATAAATTTTTGAGGTAGTACATAGTAGGGTAGGATTACTAAATAGGTAGGACAAGGGTCGAGGGCGACCCTTTTCCGGGGCGGAGGCACATGTTACGAATAAATATAACACCCTGTAAATAAGTATGTTATGATTTGTAAAGTTTTGTCCAAGGCCAGGCGCGCGAAACAAAGATTCAATAAAATAATAAAACTTGCAGTTGGACAAGGTTTTATTAAATCATAATATTAAACTACATGGTCAAAAAGATCAACAGAGGATTCTTGAAAGATTACAGGTGGATATTCGCGGAGTTCCTTTTCGCCTACGTTGACGATCGGTCGAGTTAATTTTGAATAAAGGAGATTCCTTTTTTTTTTTTGGTATCTGAAGTTAGAATCACAGGCCGGTCATGCGAAATTGCGATTAGTTTTTTTTGTAAAGCCACACAGTGGGAAAAGTAACCTGTGCCTCAGCCTGCATCCTAAAGGATTAAAATATGTTCATGTAAGTAAATAGTTTTAAGGAATTATATCTAATTATTGTGTAGTCCACGGAGGCTAAGTAATTGCGAAAACAATATAAATTGTTTTTTTTTATTTGTTTAAATAAACCACAGTTATTTGTTTTACGCTTGTTTCAATTTTATTTGATTTAGGAAAAGTTAAGGTTCCATCTGAACTTAACCCCCTAGCCGTGTGTTGTCTAGAGGCCAATTTAAATACAAATTGGGCCCCTCTATACAACTCGTCGTTACCGCTAAGAGTGGGCTTGGTCAGTCAAAAGGGCCTATAATCTCACTCTTAACAGTATTAATAATTATTTTTAGACAAGCCTTCAAAAATATTTACCAAATTTTAAAACCCGGAGGTTGGATGTTTTTGACTTTTTTCGAACGAACTCCGGTCGATGACGTCTTTGACAAAATATCAAAGAATCCAAAATGGAGCAATTATAGACAAGACGAAATGATATCCAAGTACTATTATAGTGACAATCCACAAAAAGGATACAGAAAGGATATAGATGCGGCCAATTTTAAGGATTACCATTTTAATATCGAAAAGGATACTTACGAATTTGGCTCTATTGAAGAAATGAATAGTAAGAGATTTACGTGATATTATTTAACATATTTGTTAATTTTTCGATTTCTCGCTACATAAGCTTATTTGCACTATTTATGATTTGGATAGGCTTTTTAATAATTTTTACCAAAAAATTATTTATTTAGAATTTTTACAACGGTTTTATTGATATTTGTCTGTGTAATAATTTATTGATCTAGTTTTACGGTTAAATAGGGTTTTCGATTTTCGATTTTCGATTTTCGATTTTCGATTTTCGATTTTCGATTTTCGATTTTCGATTTTCGATTTTCGATTTTCGATTTTCGATTTTCGATTTTCGATTTTCGATTTTCGATTTTCGATTTTCGATTTTCGATTTTCGATTTTCGATTTTCGATTTTCGATTTTCGATTTTCGATTTTCGATTTCCGATTTTCGATTTTCGATTTTCGATTTTCGATTTTCGATTTTCGATTTTCGATTTTCGATTTTCGATTTTCGATTTTCGATTTTCGATTTTCGATTTTCGATTTTCGATTTTCGATTTTCGATTTTCGATTTTCGATTTTCGATTTTCGATTTTCGATTTTCGATTTTCGATTTTCGATTTTCGATTTTCGATTTTCGATTTTCGATTTTCGATTTTCGATTTTCGATTTTCGATTTTCGATTTTCGATTTTCGATTTTCGATTTTCGATTTTCGATTTTCGATTTTCGATTTTCGATTTTCGATTTTCGATTTTCGATTTTCGATTTTCGATTTTCGATTTTCGATTTTCGATTTTCGATTTTCGATTTTCGATTTTCGATTTTCGATTTTCGATTTTCGATTTTCGATTTTCGATTTTCGATTTTCGATTTTCGATTTTCGATTTTCGATTTTCGATTTTCGATTTTCGATTTTCGATTTTCGATTTTCGATTTTCGATTTTCGATTTTCGATTTTCGATTTTCGATTTTCGATTTTCGATTTTCGATTTTCGATTTTCGATTTTCGATTTTCGATTTTCGATTTTCGATTTTCGATTTTCGATTTTCGATTTTCGATTTTCGATTTTCGATTTTCGATTTTCGATTTTCGATTTTCGATTTTCGATTTTCGATTTTCGATTTTCGATTTTCGATTTTCGATTTTCGATTTTCGATTTTCGATTTTCGATTTTCGATTTTCGATTTTCGATTTTCGATTTTCGATTTTCGATTTTCGATTTTCGATTTTCGATTTTCGATTTTCGATTTTCGATTTTCGATTTTCGATTTTCGATTTTCGATTTTCGATTTTCGATTTTCGATTTTCGATTTTCGGTATAAGTTTTGTATTTTTTGGATTCAGGTGTTTTGTTTGTTCGAATTCCAGGGCTAGAGTTTTTCTAATTATTATTCGTGTGATGTTTGGTGTAACAATATCAGTATAGTATTTCGTTTAAAAATAATTAATTGGATTATTTTAATGAAAAACACTATGTTTTAAGTAACCTATTCATGATATTTAAAAAAATACATTTACATATGCAAGTAAGAATTATTTTGTTAAATAACTCAAAAACATGGAATTCAGAAAGTATCGCTCAATCAGTGGCGTACAAAATTGACGTTTGACTTTTTCAGGTTTTATGAATTTATGAGAGCTAATAAATATACAGTATGTCTGAAAAAGTTGGCAACATATGAGAAACTTTTTTTTTTGTGTTGTTACGAAAAAAAGTTATTCTTTATAAAAATTTCTGCATGGCCCGTAAAGTAAAACGCAAATGTCAGATGTCAATTTTTTAAACCGTATACGAGGTTTGTCAAAAAATATAATTTTGAACAAGAGTAAAGTACCTTTATTTTATACAATATCGAAAACTTTAATATGTATTATTTATTTCTCGAAAGCTTTTACTAGGCTGACTTTCGATAAGAGAAATGTCAGTCAGAACCGCCCAAATTTTAAATTATTTCGTTTATTTTTGTGTATTACATTAGAAAATACATTATTTTGTTGGGTATTACTTATTTATCACTGATTTAAGTTAATTGCTAAAATATTGCAAATCAGCAAATAAACATTTAAGATGTGTTGAATTGTTAAATAAGATAAAAGTTGACGTGTTTTACAACTAAAATTTGCAAAATTGAAGTTGTCAAAACATTTCTATTAATCTTTTGCAATGTCAAATGTAAATACCTTGTTACGGGTTAATTGTAAAAATTTAATTAATTTAAATTTGAATATCTTTTCTGGGCATAATTTAAAATAAATAGTAAATTTACCTGTTTTCCAATAAGCTGACACAAAATAAATGAAGGCAAAGTAAAACTATTAACTTTATTCGAGATATTCTTCTAGTACAATGTATAACAATTTATTTCAATTATTCTACTTCCATCATAATTCTTCTTAGTTCACTAATAGGGTCTTTTATATCTTCTTGACTTTCCTGAAAGAAAAAAATAAATATTAAACCCTGAATAAATTAATAACAATAACACAACCTTTAGAATTTCAAAGGTTTAAACTTCAATGATTATTCTTTTCTTCTCATATATAAAAATTGTCAATTAGGAAACTAAAACTTGTCAGGTAAACCTACAACCAGATCTTTTCTATAGTCTTACCTCTAGACTAATAATATTGCGGAATTTTACATAAATCTAGAATAAATTTAGTGAATATTTCAATATTTACGAAAACTAGTAAATATGATATCACTGTAGATATAATTTTCATAATTATTCTTAGATTTAGAATTTAAAATACTTCGACTTTATCGAAGCCACTTGGAGGCCTCACGCCACGCCAAGGTGAGTCTTATAGAAATAACTTATTCAAAATATTCTATTTAAAATTTACTCTGGTTGTTAAAATGTAAAATATTATTTTAGGTCTCTTTTCTTAAGTTATCGTGTAATAACTTACCTTATCGTATCGCATCAGATTGTCTTGTTCTCCAATCGTTATTCACCCTCTTAATTATTCATCTTTGGGCTCGAAGAAACCCTCACGAATATTCCTGAGTAGGTACAGGTTACGTATATCCAATAGAGGCTGACATCACTAGGCTAAGAAGCAGTGAATGCACTTTTGAGGAAATCCTGAGTCTCTGATGTCCACTGGAACGCAGCTAAGTAGTAACAATACAAGATATACCACTTTATTATTGATTTTCATATATTTTTCGTACTCATAACAATAGCCCATAATGCTTAGAGGAAACTAAGATTGTTCTTTTTATTAAATAGGAAGTAGTCTTCAATGACCTACAAAATATATAATCCCTATAAAACTTATAGATTTGCTATCTAAATTAATAACTGGCTTTTTAAATATAATATAGGTTTACTTACTTTGTATGGCCCAAAAGATTAGTTGTGAATCTTCACGTATAGTATGCATACCACACAGAAGACCGGGGCTTGATTTTATTGTAAACAATATATTATTCCCTAATATTAATTGTAAATATCTTATAAACAACAAACTCCATCTATTTGCTGCAGATAATAAAATACTGTAGAGAGACAACCCTCTTGTTTAATTAAAAATATAAATTTGAGTGCCAGAACCACTTCACAGAAAACCCTGGAATCGGGAGATAATTTAACCAACAAGGTTAAATCCCCCTTTTAAAGTAACAACCTGAATATTATTATTTTCGCAAGCAGAGATTTTCATAAAGAATAACTTTTTTTCGTAAAACTTTTTCAGACATACTGTACAGTGTGTCTACCTAAGTTGAAATCATATGGAAAACTTTTTTATTAATAATTTTAGGAAAAAAGTTAATTTTCGCAGAAAGTTGTGCATGATCAAACCTTAAATACAAACATCTAATACTAAATTTTATCCGTCGTATACGAGGTGTGTTTAAAATAAAGGTACTTTATTCTTAAGCAAATCTTCTATTTTTTAACGAAACCCGTATACGACTAAAAAATGTGATATCTGATGATTTTATTTTACTTTTTAGGTAATACAAAACTTTTTATTGGGAATAATTTTGTTCCTAACATTTTTTATAAACTCATCCGCTTATATTACATGTCGTATACAGGGTGTTAAAAAAAGTGTCACAGAATGAAATGGTGAATAGTATGACCCAAAATAAGCAGAAAAGTCTTAATAAATGTATGACCGCAAATTAACGGTTTCGGTTTATAACAATTTTTGGTACAATCTTCCAAACACACGAACTGAAGGGATGTGGCGATTAGGGAAAGCGTCGATATACTGACGTAGCGCTTCCCTCGCATTGCCATTTGAACGACCGTACATAAAATGCATGTCAGCTAATTCAATATTAGTGTAAACAGGCATAACGAAAATTTATAAAATTATTCACCCACAACAAAATAATAACTGCAAATAGTATCTATGAAAAAACATCGGTAGACTCCGATAAGAAAAGCAAGTTTTTGAGAATGAAAAAAGAATCAAAAAATGATACAAAACACAAAACACTCCGTATCTCTGAAACCATTCATTTGCGGACATATGTTTATTAACACGTTAAGCGCCAAGGTGTATTTGAAGAAATTTTCTTGCTGGGCCGAAGGGTTTTTATTCTTTTAAATATTGTTGTGGGCCAATCTATATTCCCACAGGCCAAATTTATCTCAATAACGTAATTAGTAACAATTAAAAAAAATAAATTTTATGGCGGGCCGAGGGGACCGCTGTGGCCCTGCACTAGAATTTTTTGTACTAGGCCAAAGCGGTCCATAGTGGAGGTCCATGTCTAACTAGGGGTTCGATAGAATAAGTCACACGTGGAATTGTGATATTGTCAGTCGTTTGTTTTAGTTGCCTCTACGCAGCGGTAAGGGTGTGTTCGCGCGAAGCGCGAAAGTGATATTTCGTACACGTGTTATTTCGAGATTTTAAACGGAAAATCATGACGTCTCGCGGCAAGCGAATGGTTGCTATGCCACAATCAAATAATTACGTAGGTAAATATGTTTACTTATTTTGTTCAGCTGTTTATTTACTAAAAGCAAGCAAATGATTTAAATTTACATGTTTTGTTGCAGATTGAGATTCGGAGCCTTAC